GAAAGCAGCACCACCCTTTTCACTCGTATTCTCCCAAAATACAGAGGGCACAGGCTTGCTGTGAGCGTAACTCCAGCGGAGCATGGATGGATTTATCAGCCAGTGCCAGGCTGGTTTGGACCTGAGCAGCCTGTTCGGACACAGCACACCCTCTAGGTCAATATTTGCCCTCAGAACCACCCAAGTTTCTCACACAGCTCTTCCAGGCTCAGACACCAGATGACTAAACCAAAGGTGCACCCAAATCACAGTGGAGCTAATCCTAAAGCCTGGGGAAATGTCTGGGGGCCGGTGACAGGGAAGACGCCTCTAATCCACCCTGAAATAGTGCCTGCCATCCAGCTGGGAGGGAAGGGATGAGGACAGCGGGGCCACGTGGCTGCTGTGTGCCTCCTCCTGTAAGGCAAGGTGCAGCTTAGGATTCTCCTGATGCAAAGGGATCCTGCCAGCTCCACGGTAAAGCTTGACAACGCTTTCGGTGAAAACAAAGGAAGTAATCCATTCATATCATCTACAGAAGAGCTGCTTTCTGTTCCCCCTCGATAAAGTGTCCTCCAGCAGGCCCTTCCACGGCTTAGGGACCGCTGGGGATGGTCCCACTGAGCTTGTTCCTCAGAATCCACATCACCATCCCGACACTTGCCCTGTCCCGACCACACAACGCCAGCTCTTCATTTTCACTTTTTCCATGAGGCCCTTACACGTACAGCAAAGCGGATTTTCCTGGAAGTCTGTGCAGTTCCGCTTCCTGATTTTGGGCAGAATAGTTTAAAACCAGGAGGAACTTTACCCTTTCAAGGCACACTCAAGAGGATCACCTCTAAGTGCATACACCCTGTAGAAAGACCTGGCATCAGCCCTGTCCTGTGACCACTCTGGATCATGTGGCTGTTCTTCCATCACAGTTTAGGAACAAGGTAGAAATCATAGAATGGTTTGGGTTGGGAGGTACCTTAAAGATCACCCTGTTCCAACCCTCAGTGAATGCACTGCTTTCTCCTTCCCACCCAACACTCCCTGTGCTGGGTCAAAAAGTCCCCCAGCCCTCCCCGGCTCATCCCCCCCAGCCCTGGGGGACTCAGAAGCTCCATGAGAGGAGAAGAAACAAGGAATGTAGAGGGGAAACCTGGTCCTGAGCCCTTTCAGAAGCCGATGAACAACCCAGTTTTACTCTCTGGATGAACTACAAGGAAACAAACTCAACGCAGTTCTTGGTTAAGCAGCTTTTTCCACCATGGATGCCGCTCCCACAGCTCTCCCACCTCTCTGTCAGGTATCACAGGGGGTGTTAAAACCCAGCAGAGCTGCCTGTCCCCCACTGTCATGTACAGCAGGCAGCCCCAGGCAGGATTAACATTTACCTAAAAATAGATGGAAGAAAGGTGAGAAACAGGTCACAGACACCCAGACCTCTAATGATTTTTAGGAGAATACCCCCATCTCTAACCCCAGAGGAGGAGCACCAGTAATCTCCAACACAATCTTTGCTTTTCACTACATTTTTCGTATCACTGAGGGATTAAACTTTCCCTTCCCTTTTTGTTGCTGTTTTGGTGGGGGTTTTTTAAATTTTTTTTTTCCTCTCTCCAGTTGGGGCTTCAGAGCAAGCATTCCCAAACCACCCATCACTGGTACGAGTGATTTCAAACTATTTATACACGCAGGAACTTTTTGTTATGGGTAAGCTTATCCCTCCCCATTACTAAAAATGACTTAGAAGTGATATTATAGAAATACAGTGATAGCTTGAGCAACCTGGTCTAGTGGAAGATGTTCCTACCCATGGCAGGGAGGTGGAACTGGATGAGTTTAAGGTCCTTTCCGAACCAAACCACTCTGTGATTCTGTGATGTTATGGGGTCAAATCCCACCCCAGAAATTACAGCTCACACCTCTCTCCTAGCAAGGAGGCAAACCCCAGCTGGGTCTTCTAAAAGGCAATGAGGTTCCTGAATGGCCTGTAATCAGCTCAAATGCACCCCAAGCATGTGTGGGTGTGGAGGGAGCCCGGGATGAGCTGGGGAAATAGGAGTCTGGCTCCACTGCTCACAGATGGAGAGAGCACACCCTGCCAGGATCATGCTCCGGGGCTGCTTCTCCTTGGAGAGTCCTGTTGCTGTCATCAGACCAAACCCTGCTCTCCCCCTGGTCCTGCTAAACCCACCCAGGCAATAACTTATCCTTATCCTCCTCCCTGCTGCCGGGCAAGTGAAGCAAGGCTGGGAACGTGCCCACCCCCTGGTTGAAAGTGAATGGGAAACCTGGGCAAACAGGATTTTCACTGCAGGAACAGCTAACGTAGCCTTCTGGTGATGAATCATGGAATATCCTGAGCTGGAAGGGACCCACAAGGATCATGGAAGTCCACATCCCAGTGCCCAGTGGATGCCAAACCCTGTCTGAAGGCAGAGGTCTGTTCAGTGACCATGAAGCTGAAGGTGAGCAGGGGCAGGTGCTGGGTTCAGCAGCACAGCTCTAGGGCTGAAGGAGGGGGGTTGAAGGAAAGCACCCTGGGATAGTGTTCAGTTCCCATCCTACAGAAATTTTGGAGCATGGAACTTCCCTCTGGTTTCCAGATTCCCAGTTTCTTCTCTTGGACCAGTAAGTGAACGTCAGCATTTCACCTCTCTCCTTCAAAGGGCATCAACACATGCCACCCATCCAAACCCCCTAAAAGGTATTGCCAAGAACATCAGAGTCTCCTCTGACCCTTCCTCTTTTAGGTTCCACGAGCCAAACCAGCTTCCCCACAAAACAACCACACACTCCGCCCTAATTAGTACGTGCTAAAAAGCAAAACTGGAGGTCGACAGAACTCCCACAGCTTGAAGCACCACCCTTTGCACCTGTATAGTAAAAAAAACCCCTTCAATCAATGCCTTGTTTGGGGGTTATGCACATTTACAGCCTCTCCACCAACACAATGACCTGCAAATAGGATGCTGAGCCTGATGCAATGAGAGAAGCTGATTTTTTCACCTCATTTAGGGAGCCTCTATTTGTCATCCTGGAAGATCTGACTTTCCTCACTCTTGCACAACGATAATGATCAGAAAGCCAAAAGAGAATTTTTTGCCTTTTTAGGATGTTCCTAAGTAATAACTCTTGTCAAGGAACCAGATCTGCACCAGCTGCTGGATACGCAGGTGGTGAATTATTTTCCATTATCACTTCCAAGCCGGGCAAGATCTGCAGCATACAATGCCTGGACATGAATTACTCCTTAGAGAAGGGATCCAAATTCTTTGCAAATCTTGTGTTTTGATAATCATCTGGAGCCTTGTACTTGCAGAGCCCCCAGCTGCTAGAAATGTTCTGAAGGAGAACGAAATAATCGGTCCCTCCTTCTCCACCCTCCTAAAACCTGAATTCCAGGTTCTGCTGCTGGAATGTGATTACCACATGTAATGGTGGCAGCAGCATCTGAATGCCACAAGCTCTGGGGACTGCCTTGCTCTTCCTTGGATTAAAAAACAACCGAAAGGGCTGGTCTGGGTCACCCCAAAGTCAGATGCTACAGGCATGCAGAAGGATAATTGTGACGGTCCAGGGATCCAGATGACCTAATAGCTTCAATCATGATTAGAGAGTTCCCCTACAGCAGATGAAAAAGTACCAGGGGCTTTTCTAGGAGGACATAAGGCCATTGTTTCATTTTTAAGAAGACAAATAACATTCCTAACCTGAGGTTCGCCTGAGCTGAAGCTCAGGGTCTTTCCACATGCAAACAGTGGGATGCTCCAATGTTTCTCTATGGCTATTTAAAAGAAAAAAAAACCCCACACCACAAAACAAATATACATGGTGAGATCACGTTGCCTGACAAGCAGCAGTAAACACAGTTTACTGTTCACAGTTTACTGGCTGTGCTGTTCATGCCACTGGTACAAGAGTTACCTGGGGCACACAGAGCAATAAATGGTGCGGAGCTCCATCAAGGAGCCACGGGACGACGGGGACAAGCCAGCAGCAAGTCCCATATTTACAAAACAGGGCACCACACCCCACGGAACCTCACTCGGGGTTTCATTCAAGCTTCTGCTGCCTTTTTTTTTTTTTTCCCCCCTTCTTTTCCATGCAGCTTCTCTGTTTGGGAATACTCTGCTGGGCCGAGCAGCTCCCTACCTTCGCTCCCAGGCTACCACTGGAAGCATCCTTGGCAAAAACACCGTCTGGAAAACGCTCAGGTGCTACGCAGCGGATGCGAACCCCCAAACCACGCACACGAGGTTCAACAGGGGCCCTTCCACAGCAGCGCTCGAGTCCCTGGCTGACGGCGGCGGTGGAGCGGGGGGGATTCCCAAACTTCCCCAGACTGATAACCGGAAAAACCACCTCCTTTTCTGCACGGCCACCCACCCCGCGCCCCGCTGTCGCTGTCACGAGGTGGCCGTGCCACGAGTCCCCGATGCCGAGACCCCCCCCAAAAAAAACAAACAGCGGGGATTAGGCTACAAAAGTACACAAATGCACCCTCGCGTTTTGGGGTTTTTTTTCCCTGCTTGTAAGTAATTATCGAGGAAATGATTCGGAGAGCTGTAACTGCGCCAAGGACGCAGCTGGAACAAAGTTCTCAGCAGTTTTCCTCCCCCAAAAGGCTCCTCGCCCCAAACGCGGAGCGCAGTCCCTGCGTAATCCCGTTGCCCCACTTGCTCCCGATCACAAAACGAGCCTGAAGATTACTTTAATTAAAAACACTAACAAAAAACCTACTCCATTAAAAACACCCCACAAAAAAAAAAAAAAAAAAGAAAAAACTTCGACACTACCAGTTTGTTGTCGTTGTTTTGTTTTTTTAAAGAAACTTCAACCTCTAAATTTTCTCGTTCTTTAAAAATACGTTAAGCAGGGTTTCCCTACGGAAAAGTACGAGTCACCTGCACACAGGTAAATTAAAGGCCCTCTGGAAAGCCCCGGGACCAGGGACGCGTCCCGCAGCGCCGCATCCCTCTGCCAGCGCACCCCCGGCCCGGGACACCCCCCGCACCCTCCCCGCGTACCCAGAAGGCGAGGCTCAGCAGCAGCAGCACGGTCTTGGAGGTGATGACTCCGCAGTCCATGTTCAGGAGCAGGTCTGGGGCCGTGAGCGGGACCGGCCGTGGGTCTCCCCCCCGTGGGGCCGCCCCCAGCCCGTCCCACCGCCCGCCCCAGCCCTGCCCACCCACGGGACGCGTTATCCTCGTGGCCAACCAGGCACATTTCCAAGCGGGGGGGGTGGGTAGTGCCGGGAACAAATGTCTAAGCAAATTATTGTTGACTTTGGAGTGTTGTTTTGTTGTTTTGTTCGTTGTGTTTTGGTTTTTTTTTCTTTTCTTCTGCGACTTTTCAGCGTAGTTAAACTGAGCATTGTGAAGCAGCGTGAAGGCTTCCATCAGATCTGCCTTTCGAGATTGCTAACCCACAGCTGAGTGCCTCCGTTCATCCAGCCCTTCCCTGCCTGTCTGTTTTGGCGCTGTCTGAAGCCCATCCTTTCAAGCACATGCTCCACGAACAGTGGGAAGACGAGGATCAGTGGTGGGCTTGGCAGTGCTGGGTTAATGGCTGGGCTGATCCCACAGCGTGGGCAGGGGGGGATTCTGCCCCTCTGCCCCCTCAGGTGAGACCCCCCTGCAGAGCTGCCCCAGCCCTGGGAACAACAGCACAGGGACGTGGAGCTGCTGGAGAGAGTCCAGAGGAGGCCACGGAGATGCTGCCAGGGCTGGAGCCCCTCTGCTCTGGAGCCAGGCTGGGAGAGCTGGGAGGGGTTCCCCTGGAGAAGAGAAGGCTCCAGGGAGACCTGAGAGCCCCTTGCAGGGCCTAAAGGGGCTCCAAGAGAGCTGGAGAGGGACTGGGGACAAGGGATGGAGGGACAGGACACGGGGAGTGGCTTCCCACTGGTTTAGATGGGATATTGGGAAGGCATTGTTGTCTGTGAGGCTGGTGAGGCCCTGGCACAGGTTACCCAGAGAAGCTGTGGCTGCCGCTGCATCCCTGGAAGTGTCCAAGGCCAGGTTGGACAGGGCTGGGAGCAACCTGGGATAGTAGAAGGTGTCCCTGCCCATGGCAGGGGGTGGAACTGGATGATCTTTCAGGTTCCTTCCAACCGAAACCACTCTGGTATTCTGTCACTCTCCAACACTGTCTGAATGCTCCACAGGGCATCCTAGCCACTGAAATGCGAGGCCACAGGGAGAAGGATTTGAATTCAGGGACTGCAGAGGTCTGCAAACGTCACTTTTTTTTTCCATCATCAGCCAATGCCTGTGCTTTTACAAACGAGCTGAAGGTGTAGGATCGGCAGCCAGGGCTTTGTTTTGCAGAGAAGACCTTTGTCAGCCTGAACTGAGCTGAACCCACCTCTCTGCTGGGCTGCAGGATGCAGTGATAACAAGTTTCCTGTTGTTGCCCCTTCCTGGCAAAAGCAGCTGAGAGCCAGTTTATTTCAGGAGGAGATGGATTTTGGAGGGGATGTGCTGAAGTAGCTCTCCAGCAGGAAATAATGGAAACAGAGATTATGGACAGTCTCTGCCCACAGCCCATGAATTTAAGCTGCTGCTGATTCAAAAAGGCACCAGAACAGCCCATGTAGTTGCTGAAAACACAGAAATCCCCACACAGAAAATGGGGTGAAGATGATCTCCGAAATTAAATTCCCTTAAGAGTAAAGATCAGCATAAGGTCAGACCTTAAGGACTGGCTGACAGCTCCTCCTGTCTGCAAGCCTGTCTTTGCCATCATAATTTTAATTACAGCACTGAATATTAACAGAGTGTATAGTTGTGGAGTATTTCCTAATTTTTTAAAAAAACAGCATTTTTACTTTTCCTTATAGCCTGGCAAGCTGACGTGTTAATGAAGAAAAAAAATCTTCTAGAAACTGCTTATCTTCCTAGTTTTGTAGGAATGATTGGTATTTTGGGGGAAATACTTCAAATGAAAATGAAAGGGCAAATTCTGAAGTTTGATTTGAAATGAAATATAAGGGAATTAAAAAAAAACTAACCCTCCCAAACATTAAAAAAAAAACACCTTGCCAAAACCCACCTTTTTTTAATATCCAAATAATGTTTCCACTTTAGTCACTTGTTAGTTCTCTATTTTAATTTAAAATAAAAGAGTGTCAGTTTCACAGTGAGAATGAAACGGTGCTCTTTATCAGAATGTTACCACCTGTATGCTGCCTGTTGCAGAACAAAGTGCTGTTAAAATCAACTGTGGCTGATATTTTATTAAAGCTCACCTAGAAAGAAACTTTCCAGAACAAGGATGTGCCCGTAGAGATGTATCCCAACCACCGCAGACAGCCCTGGTCATGATATTCTGCACCATCCTCCACCAAATTAATATTAAGATCAAGAGATTCCTGTTGAACGTGGGATTTTAAAACAGCAATAAGATGGAAGTCTCACAGTCAGCTTTGCAAAGCTGGGAAACGGGGAAAAAAAGGAAATTAAAACTATCTAATCCAATAACAAAGTGATAGCCTCAAGGGAGGCTCTGTTTCCAGAGCTGCTGCCTGCCAAAGGGTGATTTGCCCTGCATAAATCGGTTGGGTTTGCTGGGTTTTGGTCTGAGACTGGTTTAGGAGACGTGGTGGAAAAACAACAGGTTTCCCACTGATTTATTTATTGTATATTTAGCAACATTTCCCTTTATCCACCAGACATAAAATTGCCTTCTGCACATCTGACCGTGTACCTGAAAATCTCTCTTTTTAGTGTTCTTCCTGCTGGACTAAACAACTTGTCAGCTCTGGTACTTTCCAGAACTCATCCTCTCCCACTGCCTTTCATTTTTTCTAGAGGTGCCGAAAAACATGGAGCGCGTTCCCTGAGGATTGCTAAAGAGGCCACCACGGCTCTTTGGCTGCTCTGGCACCGTGGTGTTGCTGACTCACTCCCAGCTTGTGATCATCTATTTCTGCCATAGGAACCGCTTCCGAGTCACCTCTTCCCCTTCCCCTTCTCCCCGTTATTCCTGCCTGAGCGGGCGACCTTGCTGGTGCCATGGAATCACAGAACCCTGGAATGCTTTGGATTGGAAGGGGCCTTAAAGCCCATCTCATTTCAACCCCCCTGCCATGGGCAGGGACACCTTCCACTATCCCAGGTTGCTCCAAGCCCCGTCCAACCTGGCCTTGGACACTTCCAGGGATGCAGGGGCAGCCACAGCTTCTCTGGGCAACCTGTGCCACGGCCTGCCCACCCTCACAGTGAGGAATTCTTTCCCAATATCCCATCTAACCCTGCCCTCAGGCAGTGGGAAGCCATTCCCCCTTGCCCTTTCACTCCAGGCCCTTGTGCTTTCTGTGCCACATCCAATTTTTCAGCCCTTTCCTCCAAATCCTCGGGATCACTGGTAAACTCCATCCCTATCCCAGTCCTAGCGCTCACCACTGCCATGTGCTCTCTGGATATAAATTCCCTATTGTCTCCTCCAGGTTATTGCTGAAATTTAAACCCACAAGGGATGGGTGCTCCAGCGCAGGTGACACCAAAAAATGGGTAGAGGATCCTGGGATGGGGATTGCTCTGGACAGGCTGTGGGAACGAAGCTGCTATGGGGTGTTTTAAAAGCCTTATCATATGATATTTACTGCTTCTTTCCCCACAAGGCCTGTTAACCCCCACAGAAGGAAATGAGATTAACATGAATGAAAATGAAATGAAACCATTTGCCTCTGACAAATTTACATTGGCTGGTTTTTGTCTCCTCATTTTCTTCTTACTTGCTTACAAATGATTTCCCAGTTACATATTTCATGGCCCCTTTGATGTTGTTTATCAGGAACTGAAGTTAATTGGCTTGTAATTTCTAAGCCCTTTTTTCTCTTCTCTTCTCTTCTCTTCTCTTCTCTTCTCTTCTCTTCTCTTCTCTTCTCTTCTCTTCTCTTCTCTTCTCTTCTCTTCTCTTCTCTTCTCTTCTCTTCTCTTCTCTTCTCTTCTCTTCTCTTCTCTTCTCTCTTCTCTTCTCTTCTCTTCTCTTCTCTTCTCTTCTCTTCTCTTCTCTTCTCTTCTCTTCTCTTCTCTTCTCTTCTCTTCTCTTCTCTTCTCTTCTCTTCTCTTCTCTTCTCTTCTCTTCTCTTCTCTTCTCTTCTCTTCTCTTCTCTTCTCGTTTCTTTTTTCTTTTTTCCTTTTCCCTTCCTTCCCTTCCTTCCCTTCCTTCCCTTCCCTTCCTTCCCTTCCCTTCCCTTCCCTTCCCTTCCTTCCCTTCCCTTCCCTTCCCTTCCTTCCCTTCCCTTCCCTTCCCTTCCCTTCCTTCCTTCCCTTCCCTTCCCTTCCCTTTCCTTCCCTTCCCTTCCCTTTTTTTCTTTTTTAAATGCAGCCTATGTTCCCCCTTTCTCAGCCTGCCAGCACCTCCCCTCCTGCCCAAAACCACCCCTGCAAACAGCTCTGAGATGGCTGGAAACACTTGTAAAGTCCTCTGGGATAAAGCCCATCACACCAAGTTCATTTGAGAACCACCAGTTTATAAAACCTTGCTGTAATCTGTCCTTTCCTCATTCTTCCCTTGACTCTAACCTTTCATCCCTGCTTTCTGCTGTGTCAGCTGCTGATTGTTTTGGTGACTGGTGCCCCAATGGGGACAGAAAGTCAGTCTCCTGTGATTGGCATGTGAGGATGATGCAGAGGCATCTTAGTAGTACATGACCTTGTTTCTTGGAACCATTTCTGTTGAAAAGACTCACGTCAAAATAACAGGAAGGGAAATTTACAGTCAGCAGGCTTAGCTTTCCAGCTAAAAACGTGAAATAATCTTCTATTGACCTCATAAAATTGGCAGACAGCAAAGTTTGAAAAACTCAACTCAAATACTTTCAGTTCCTCTTTAAACATTCCAGCTGGGTTACACATTCAGTTCTTGTCCGAGGCGTGAAAAAAATGTGTTTCCCAGCAACTAATACTTGCATGCTCTCATTTTTACCGTAGGAAGGCAAGGACTCTGCATGGCTCTCTGTCCCACACCAGCAGAGAGCCCACAACAGCAGCAGTATTCCCCGGAGCGCTCACGGGCAAGGATCTCCTTGCTGTGGCACTCACCACAGGGTTTTAATTTCTGCCGCACCTCAGCACTGTGCAGGTCATCCTGCACCAGCCCCGCAGCTGTGCCAGCGGGGATTTGGTGCCTGGTGATC